TGTAAACGTTTTCGCGCTAAATTTGATGCAAAAAATACATAGCGAATAGATATGATCCCATCCGATCGAGGAAAAAAAATGAAGGAAGAAGAAAGAAGATAAATGGAAGCGTAGTGTTTCGAAATTACGAAACGGTGATAAGATAATATGATAAGATAAAAGATTTTTCCGAGGAAAGAATGGAGAAAGGAGAAAATATATCGTAAGAGAGATTTAAAAAAACTTGGGAAAAGAAGAAAGAGCGAGAAGATAGAGGTGGAAGATGAAGAAGGGTGAAAAAGAAGGAGGTCCCCGTTGAAAAAGATCGAGTCTACTAAGAACTTACGTGTGTACGTGACCGGTAAAGAAGTCGGTTTTCCATTTAGATGAGGCGAGTAGCTGTTCTGCCTGTTACTGGCGTCCGCCTCGAGGGCGTAATCGAACGTGGCCAAAAAACCGCAGAGAAGGAAACTTTGAACGAAGAGGAGCACGATCGCGTGCGATAAGCTCCTCGTTGTCATGCGTTCGTCCATCGTGTATTCCGTTTCTCCTCGCGAAAAAGTTTATTTTTCGCCAAATTATTCAACGCTCCCTCTCTCTTTCTTCGTCACCTCGCCACAGCCTTGATTTTTCCTTTCTCCGAATCGAATCTCTCCTCCTTCCTCTCCAACTCCTCATATAGAGCGATTTTTCCTCCCTCTTTTTTAATTTTCTTTCAAAATCGATCGAAATTGGAAAGCGAATGTTTGTCGCGAATACTCAAACTGCTAATTCAATTGGTGTTTTCGATTTTTTTCGATAAAAGGAGACAAAATTTTCTTATTTTTCACGATTCTGGATTCTCGTTACGTTCGAACGACTTATCTCTCTCTTTTTTTCTCTCTTTCAAGTATATATGTACGTCTTTCTTCTATCCATTAGTTTTGAGCGTAAAAAAATATAGGATATAAAATATAAACGAATGGAAAGGTTGAAAAGAAGAAAAAGAAGAAAACGAAGAGAAAAGAATCTATCTTTCTCCGAATCTGATTATAGAGGAGGAATTGTAACTCGTACAACACGATTCGCGTGATTCTGGGTGGTATACGATGCACGTCGAGCTACCGTGAACATTTTTTTCGAAATCGATGCGATCTTTGAAGGAACGAAAAGATCAAACCTTTGATCTTTTGATCTCGTATTTTCACGCATATCGCCTATTTATTCTACCGAGTGACTAAACATTCTAACGAATTCGAACGAATTGTTGGAACGATAGAAGAAAAGACGAGTCGTTTCGTTTTTCATTTTTATTTCTGATTTAATAGGAGGAATAAGTTTGGTCGATTTGCGATTCTTTTATATAAATAAATATGTTTTAATAAATATTCGATCTTTATAATTATTATTTTTCGCATCGATAATTATTATTTTTTATTTAACGCGATTTCTCAAATTTGAAAACGAATTTCGATACTTGAATTGATTGAATTTTTGATAATCTTTTTTGCTTTGATCGCATCACGTATCGAATATAGACAATTATTTATATTCATTTTCGATGAAGACACATTAGAAATTTTAATAACTGATAAATTGTTTAAAAAATTTATCATTCGATCTATACTGATATATGTCGAATATATGTCGTTGTAACAAATTGATTTATTTAAAATATTGTCTCTAATTTAAACGTTTCACGTACAATATTACTCAAAAACGTTTGATTAAATTTTTATATTTAAATTTCATTAGACTTTGACTTTCATCTCTCTTTACATTTAAATTCTTTAAGCGATAAAGTGTCCAATGATTCAAGTTGATCTCGAATAAGCGTTCCAGCATCAAAGAACGAATGAAATTTTAAAAATTTGATTCGAAACGAAAAAGAAACAAATTACGTATAACGTTGGAATTAGCGTTTTTTATGAAAGAAGATTTTAAGCTCGTTACGTGAATTTAACACTCTGCATAGTTGCACTTTCTCAAAGTATGCGAGAGTCGAGAAGTCATAAATCTCTATATCAAAATCGACCGATTACGGCTCGTTTTTTATTAGGCAAAGTAAGGACAAATCTTTCCGTATTTCATTTCTCATGGGGCGAGTATAAATATAGAATTAAGTAAATTCGTTACTCACTCGGATAAACTAGTAACGGGTTTGTATCCGGCTTCTTGATGTGTTTCCGTCCGTGTTCGCCTGAAAGTTTAATTATTCCTTTGGTTGTATGCACGCTCGATGTTGGGCAAATTTTATGAATTCCACGAGATCATGCCAGAGAATATCTTTTCTCCTTTTATTCTCATCTCGCTGAAAATCGGAAACGTTCTTCTCTTCCTTCCCGGTTCCTCCAATCTTTTGTTCTTCGATTTAACCTCGAAATTTGACCATGCCAAAATGGAACGCAAACGAATATTTTTCCTTTCGCTTTTACTCGCGAAATTTTACAATTTTCACTCCTATTATAGTTTCGATATAGAAATAAAGTAGGTAAAGGAAAATACTCCATTTTTTTCATTTATTTCGTTTTTCTTTCTTTTCTCTTTTTCTAATCGTTTCGTCGTACATCTTGTAATTTGTTTAAAATTAGATAATAATGGATCAATAACGAGGAAAATAGGAAGGAATGATATTTTTTTTCTCCCGCAATTTTTTTCTTATTGATTTATTCGTTTATCGAGATAATAAGTATTTTATACTTGTGAAACGTTCGATCGAATATTTATAATACCAATTTTTATCAATTATTGCTATGATAAATTATTGAAAAAATCAATTTTGAAAAAAATGGATGTTCCTTCATGAAAAAAAAAAAAGTATTGACAGGATTTTGGTAATTTTAAAGTTCGATGAGTTCACGTGGTGTAAGTATCTAAACATATACCGACCTGTGCGATTTTTTAGTAAATTAACGTTCGCTTCTGGTCCATATGTCATCAATGCGCCCATTACTATAATTAGGACGATTTGGATGAAGAATAGCTGGTATACTTGTTGCTTTCCGCTTGAGAAAAACATTCCCTGTAGTGAAAGAAAGAAGAAGGAAATGAATAAAACTCGGATAAAAATGTTTATCCGTTTTTCGTTTTATTATTATTTATTTAATTTTCAGATAAAATATTATAAATGATTCGATTTAAAAATCATGATATTTTATTATCGCAACATAAATACGCTTAAAATAGACGAAACAAAAAGATAGAGCGGATAATTATTGGAAAGTTTGAGAATCAAGAGATAGAATAGAAAAACCATTTTAATCCGTTTATAAAGATAATATTTGTAAGACAAATCGTATGAGTAAAGTGGAAGAGAAGAGAGAGAGAGATTTAATGAGATGATATGATAACATTAAAGATAAAAATCTCGCAACGCTATGATTTTGTCTATGATTTTGTTACCTTATACTTTGTCACTTAATCGATTTTATCATGTTACACTTCAAAGAAAAAACGTGACAAACAGAAACGTTGCACGATTCAATTATGAAATATAATTTCATATATATATTTATAATTTAGTCATGACGAATATTGATATTTTTCAAATGTTCGAAAGAATAGTTTATCTCTAGAAACAGAATCGATTAAACAAAATATGGCTTTGGATAAAGTTAATTTAATTTTGTTTCGAATCGCATTTTATGGGAAATAGCGAGTGAGCATGCAAAAATATAATAATATAATTAGATTAAGCATAATTTATTATGTAAAAATATCCACGTTATATGTAAAAAACATGATTGGATAAAAGATCCATGCATAACGATATCAAATGATTTGAACTGTACCTTTCCCATTTTGATCTAGATAATCTTGTAACTTTTGACTAATTAGAGAAAATCCGTTTGTCCTTTTACTTTCTCGATCATCACGTTATATCTTTTCGATGAGAATAAAATTGTATGCTTTTAAATCGTGTTTCTTGAGATTATCTTAATTCGAACGACGATAAAAGAATGATCGTAGTGGAGCAAACATCGATGAAACCATGACCATAACGATCGCTGAAAAAAAAATCAATTCTCGTATATTCTTCTATAATTTGTATGATTTTTTATACTCTCTGGTTACATTTCCACTTTTGTTTTTGATAAACAGTTTTTATATACTCGAATTAACGCGAATAATTAATCATCTGTTGATAATTAATCATCACATTTATCTGCGTCTATTTTTTTGAAAAATAAAAACACAGAAACATTCGTTTCGCGATACGATTGGTGCGAGTAGAAATTAAACATAGAACGGATATCTCGATATATCGGCTCGTTCGCGATATCGCTTATCCTTTTATACGATGAACGATTCAATTACATCGCGATTGATCCTGATTGACCTCGTCGTTTAAATCTCCCCAACGGATATAAGGTCTATCCCCTTATTCAACACGATTGAAGCTTGAACCGTGTTGCAAAAATAATATATAACTACATGTATGTAGAGTATAGTGGTTTTTTAATATAGTTTAGTATTTTTGTTAGAGAATCCAATCGAAAAAGACGTTTTTTATCCATAATTTTCTAATCCAAGATTAATCAAGTTTTTATGTATGTATATTTAAAAAAAGATTTCAAAAAATTTAATGCTACGATTAATTAGAAATAATGTTGAATTTGACGTGGACCTTTTATTATTTTCATATAATATTGTTTAACTTGAAATTTACTATTGTAATTTATTATCTAAAATTTTATTTGAAAATTAGTGTTAAATTGATCTATTAAATATCTCTCTATTAATTTGTTTTACAATTTAATAAAATGAATTTTTAGAATAATGAAGCTAATACAGTGTATATAGCATGTATATAAACGTAAACATGTTTATTTATGTATATTTTTTATTTTTTAAATATATAATAGATAAAATTTAAAAAATTTTTTTTAAATTTTAATTAATTGGTAATTATTTCTAATTTGAATAATTTTTATATTAAATTAATTACGATAATTTATTCTTATTATATTTTTAATCGGGAAGATTAATTATTGGAAGACTTCGATATATAGAAATCTACAGTTAAAGAATAAAATATTATAGTTTAATTTTCGCGCACTAAAGCAAATAGAAAATAATAGCATTTTAGCCAATCAAAAAGCCGCTAAAACTTGACAGCGAAACGAATCAGTGCGCATCATTGTGCGCATGTCGTCAGTCTACAGTTGAAAAGTGTAGTGATAGGACTCGTTTCATAGGTAATAGTGCGTAATTATGCAAAATTTATATTGTATAAAATATTCTATTATGGTTAATTGAACCTGATTTAAGTAACATCTGTTTGTTTACTCATTATTATATCAAAATTAAATATATTTGTGACAGATTATCGTTTGATTGAACCATTAAAATGGATGGCATGTAACACATGTTTTTGCACACATATGATGATAATTGAAAGATAATTCGATGATTTTCATGTAAATGTAAGATTTTGTTTATTTTAATACATATATAATAATAGGTACTTAATTCTAAAATTTTTTTGTCTTTTTATTCACGAAAAAATGAAACTAAATAATTTACAGAAGATACATACATATTTCTCATATATTTCTCTTCTAATTATTATCCATGTTTAACTCGCGTATCATTTCTGTATTTGTTTTGATTTTACGCTCATTGATATGTTTTGATTTATCGAATTGTGGAATAGTTTGTAATTCGATACAGTACGTGTCATTCTGTAATCGAAATTCGCGACGATTAGACGCTTTGCTTTAGGTGTGTGACTAGTTTATTATATAATATTTATTTGATACTTATTTTTTTATTTTTTATATTATTGTTTCATTTATACATATTTGTTCGATTTAATATAATTATATTTGATCATTATTAATTTTTTTGAAGAATAATTCGATTAATTTTTTTTATTTGCGTATTTGATCATTAGAATTAATATTGATTCGTTATTATTTTTTAAAATATGATACGAATTGTTGTTTTATTTTAATAAAATCGGTTTAATTTTATATATTTTATACATTTATTTTAAATTTTTTCCGTAGATATGTAACTGATTACTGAGATTACTTTAAGCGGGAAAAGAATTTTCAATATGGATGCCATGATGACAATTCACAAAGGAGAAATAAAGTTTAAATTCTTGTATCGAAGAAAGAAGTATATGTAAGTATTTGTATATTTTATTTTGAATTATTATTTATATAGTAATATATAGTAATATATTATATAGTAATATATTATATAGTAATATGTAGTATAATTTTTATGTAATTCATAATTATTATGCTATATATTGAAAATATCAAGATGATAGTAGAAAATATTTTAATATAAATAATCCATGATTTATTATATAAAACTTGAAAAAATTCTCGAATATTTTTAATAAGTTATATAATGTGCACAAGATGTTATTAATAATAATATCTTTTTTAACAAATATTTGAGAGAAAAAAGAAAAAAAATATGAAAACATATTGTTTTCTTTTCTACATCCCCCTTTCTCTATTTATATAATTTTATTTCCAGATTATATTGTGATCACGTGCAATGCGGTCAGTAGATTCAGTGTTTGTTTCGTAATAGTATTTTTAAATATTTTCGAGCACAATATATAGTTTTAAGTAAATTTAATTGTAATAAATATACGCGAAATTAAAGTCAGTGCTCATTCGCCGGTAAAAGAACGTATTAAGTTAATTTTTTTATTATTTTTCTATTTTAAATATATTCGTCTTTGGTAGAGTATACAATCAATATTTGTGTAAAGAGAATAAAAGTGATTTTGTTGCGCAACCATTATAAATTTGAAGATTTGCAAAAGAAGAATATAATAAAAGAGAATTTACTTGAAAATAAATAAATTTTTATGCAAAAGAAGAGCAGATGGGACGTGTCGTCGTTATCAGGATAAATTTCCAATTTGCAACAATCTTCAAAAAGGTAAGACAAAAATCATTATTATTTAATATCATTGTATAATTAATATCAGTTTATAAGAAATAATATGAAAATAATTGGCTGCGATTATATTTTTCGTTAATAGAAATTTTATTTATATATGAAGTAAATAAAGTATATAAAGTAATGAGTAATATTCTCAGGATTTTAGTTTTCAATGTTAGAAAGTATATAAGTACAAATTTTTTCTTTCTATTTTTTGAAATATCATAAGATATTACATGTATATTATTTCTTTGAATTTTTATTATATAAAAAAACGAATCGATACATCAATATTCTACGTTATTTTAATTTTTTTAAATCCTTTCTTTCAAACGTCATACGTAGAAGATGTATTCGATGTTAAAAGAGTCAAGTTTCTCTGATGTAAAAACACAATCGATAATTCTTGTTATTTTAACTTTTTTTAAAATCTTTTATATAAAAGAAAAAAAATAGAAAAAGTAATAAAACGGAGAATAAAACATAAAATAAAATAAAATGGGAATAAAATCGCGGAGAAATATTTTTCGGAATTTAAAGAACGATAAAACGATCTTTTTTTGTTCTCTTTTTATTTTTTTTAATTCTTTACGTTTCTGTTTCAAATCGCATGATATTGTTTTCATTGGAGAGCAACGAATAAAAGGGGAAATCAATCGGCGATTGTTATTCCGCGATTAACTCGTAACTACAACGGTCGATTCTTCGTCGAATTCGAAAAGCAATTTCTTATTGACGATGCAAAAAGCGTCACGCGATTGTCAACGAAATCGGGATCAAATGCATTAGAAATGAAACTATGCCTGAACGATACCGTTTATATAATTTTATACGAAATAACAAAACGAGACGGCAACTTTTTTTTCAAAAATTGCGTATGTATTTATTTAATCTTTATCAATTTAATTTTTCTTTTTTTTTTTTACCAAATTATCAATCGAATAATAAATTTAGAAGAACAAGTGAAAATAAGTAATATCTATTTATAAGTAATATAATTTTTCTTTAAAGTAAAATGAAAATTTGCATCATTGGAATTCCTATTATTTCTGTACGTATGCATTTTATATATGTACAGACGATTTTAATAACGCTCAGGAAAGGAATTTTGGAATAAATGCTATCCTCTTTTATTGTTCGTATAATACGAAGAGAAAAGAAAAAGAAGAATAAAAATGAATGGAAAAAAAAATAAGAAAAATAAAAGTTATCGATATTCGTACGAAAGAATGTTCTCGAATTGAATGGAAAATTGACTGAAGAGAGTGAAAAAAACTTGTGCCGATTTCGAGCCGCCGGAAAAATATGGGGCTCGTAATTCAAACTTTTACTCAAAACATTCTCTTTTCTCGCGCATTTTGTTTTTCCCCTATATCGTTTCTTTCTTTTTTAAATCAAATATAAAAATCAATACTCGAGAAAAATAGATATGGCGTTACGGAACGAACGAATAACATGGTCGTGAATTAACTAAGAATTCTGTGAATGAGAAAATATTAAAAATATCAGAAAAGTTTGGAAAGAAAGTTGGAACGGCCGATTCTTGAGAGAAAGTTTAGATGTTTCATTCGAGAGAGCAAAATATGGGATTTAATTTTTAGAAAAGTCTGAGTTAATTAAACTGAGGGAAAAATGAGGAAGATAGAGGATTGGCCGATTCGCGTGGCTAACAAATTGATAACGCATGGACGAAACAAGGAAGTTTCCCTCTATCCCAATGGTGGTCGTGTTTCTCTTTGGCGAAAGGAGAGCAGAGTTGATTTGCGAGCAGTACAATTATTTCCACGCGGAAAACTCGGCCGGTGGAATGGGTTCTCGATGGAAACAGAAGCAAATCACCCCTGCAAACATTGCAGAGGATTATACGGAAGCTGGTTTCATAAATTATGCGATTTATCTTACAAAGGGGGAGGGGGAGGGGGCTTTTTTTAGAATAACGACGAGCTCGGCTAACTAACTAGCTTACTTGTACCCTTTCGTCTTTATTTTTTCCTCGTCCCTATTTTCTCGCCAGCGTATGGCTATTCCAGGTGTTGGGGAAGGGGGAACATAGACGAAAATCAATTTGCCACGAACCTCTGCCTCGCGTACACTTCTTTGCCCACACGGCGAACAAATCGAATTTCCTTTTCATCGAACAGCCCTGAACTCGTTTAAATGATTCGATTTCTCTTCATTTCTTCTTTCTTTGATCATTTTCGCTTTTATCATTCTGTTTATTCTTACACGATCGATTATTTTCATTTATCCCAGATTTTATCTCAGTTTATACGATTAATTTACCAAAAAAGCGCAAATATTTCGCTTGTATCTATCTAAAATCTATATAGTTATATAGAGTGTAATATGACAAAGTGGAAAAATATCCTTTGAAAAATTGATTCGATCGATCTATCCTACCTCTGCTAAGTTTCTATCCTTTTGACGAAACGAATCACGCGATAACGATTGTCCAACTTCGAACCTTATTTCTTGTCCGGTAACGATCGGTTCTCTCTAAGAGCCACCGTGTTTTCAACACGATTTCCACGCACAAAACACTATAGTTGTCCATCGAGAACACCCGACAAGTTTATATAAACTCTGTGAATTGGCAACAATTGGTCCCTTTACATAATTCCACGCTGTCGACGATACGAAGGCATGGTCTAACTCTCCAGAAATAGGCAACTATACGGATCCCACGAAGATGCGAGAATTTCTCAAGTTGAAACGTGAAACCACTCGGTCGACTCGTATCATCGTCGACAATTAGCCGAACTAATTGAAAGTGTACCGTCCGAGAATGAGGATTTATTCGTGTCCAGTCCTCTGAAACGATTACGTTAATGATGTTTGCGGCAAAATATTTCATCGCGTATTACGTCGCGACGGGATGAGAAGGAGGGGGAAAGTCGATCAGATTGCGAACAACAACAGATTGTGGAAATGCAATTAATTGATATTCCGTGAAATCGAACGATTCGTTGCTTTTCTCAAATCGTTTTCAAACATCTATAAATTTCTTTGGTAAAATATTTCATCGCCAATTACGCGTTCTTACGATTTATGATTTTTCGAATCATTTTTAAACGATTTATTCATACAAATATACCTAATGGTTAACTAATATTTTGATATATTATCGTCGATTGATTCGTTTATATTGAATCGCATTTTAAGTCTAGAGGAACACTCATGGATGAAATGGTCATCGATAGATTTTGGTCAAACAATAACAAATTTTTATAGTTTATTAGTTAATTATTTATTACTCTTTGATCTATCATTTTCATTATGTTATATTCTTTCTTTTTTGTTTCTTTTCTCTATTTTGTTCGTTCAATTGACAAAAAATTAACAATTTTCCTACATATTCAAATTCTCATCAATAATTTTATATATATATTTCAATTTCAATTCGTTGTTTCATAAATATTATTCGTTCATTCACTCGATTATATAAATATTGTACGAAATTGATTTTGCAAACAAAATGATTCGAGTATGTAATTTGTTCATTATATTTATAAATGTATATGTCGCGTAATTTTCCTACGTAATTTATAAAATAGCACGTTCTTTCGATAAATTTTTATTCTTCTTTTTTACGTATGATTTATCGTTCGATTAATTCGATTAGTCAGAAAAATAATAATTCGTTTCATGATTCAAATTTGTTTATCTTATATCCTTTTTATAGAATTATTCTTCCAAACATTTTTAATATCAATTTTCGTCTCTTTATTCTTTTTCCCCTTTTGTTATTTATAAAATTTCATATTTCTTACGAGAAAATCAATTTTCCTTCGCTTTAGCCGATCGCATTGCTATCGCGTCTATATTTTTCTTCGTCGAACCGCGAATTTATATTTCGATCAATTTCTTCTAAAATTTTTATTCCAAATTTTTAAATAACAACGATAATTTATTTCTCTTAAAATTTTTAATTTTAAAAAAAAGATTCGAGTATCCGTATTACGATCGTGTAATAATTTTCTCAATTTTTGAATGGACGTTTGTCGAGAGAAGGAAAGGAAATTAATGAAATTCTTAGCGATACGGAATATATTTTTTTAAAACGTTTTTCTAAATGCTTCTCTAAATTAGAAATAAGCGAATCACAAAAGAATTCTTCTCCGTTTCGTTCGTTGCGAGTTATTCCCGTATCAAGAATAATGACGAATGAAATCAAATACGATTTACGATACTACTTCGTTTCATCGAATCGAAAAAAGAAATCGAAAGTTAAAATGCCTATATCGTAAAACTACTATAAGATTTCGTTTAATTTCCACTATTGCAGAGTAGGCGAAATTATTGTAATCGCGATAAAGCGATGGTTCAAAGTATCGACTGTTATTTTTTGACGCGTTCCATTATTCCAATTGGTCGAAATTGAAATTTCAGTAAGTTTATGGTAAATTTATCGAACGTAACGCGAGATCTTTAACCCCATTATTCGTGGACCAGAGTGTGCACGCATCCGAGCTTCGGAGATTAAGTGAAACCAGACTCGCGAAAGCATCAACACACGGAATGTCGGTTGTAAATTACACCGAGTTAAGTGCACAAGCGGAGCTAAAGCCTCGGTAATTGGTCCGCATTTACAGATTCGATTTAATTTATCCCGGTTTCGTATCGATCTCTCCTCTGCTCAATTAACGATACATACGACTATAATACGACTCGAAACTAATCGTATCGAACTCTCGATCGAAAGAAGATATTTTTCATATCCTGGACCATTTCCAATCATCGTAAAATTTCATACGATTCCCTTTGATTAATATTTTATTCGATTACAATATTATTCCG